AGGCGGCTGCGCCAGCGGTGCGTCGCTCCGTGAGGTATCTGAATTGAAAGGAATAAAAGGTGATGATGAGTTACAGTACAAGGAAGGAAAGGGAAGGGGAAGAGAAAGAGGAGCGAAAAAATATATCGAAGAGAGACACAAAATACCGAAACAGAAAAAGAAAAGGTGAAAAATACCAAAGAAGGAAAAAAAACAAAAGAAATGAGAGGAAGAGAAAACACAACGACATGTTCACACTGCGAGCGCAAACCAGTTCCGGCCCAGCTCGCCCACCACACCAGCACCGCAGATAACGGCCGCAAACGCGTCGAAACGCGCGCGGTGGCGGCGGCTCGAAGCACCAGCACCGGCGCCAGCCCAGCTGCGAGCGGAGGGACGGACGCAGGATACGCGCGCATCTACGGCCTGGTGCGGGTCTACCCGCGAGATCGACGGGCAGCGCAGCGTTTGCGGTGGCGGCGGACTTGCACGCAATACAAGGGGCACACGGCCCGCGTCGGGGATAACGCGGCCCTCTCAGCGTCTCATCCAGCCTATGGTGGCACCGCGAATCCCGACTTTGCGCGGGCACCCACGAGGTCAAGCCCAAGTCAAGACGCCGGAAATCGGGAGGCGCGAGTCACGGAGAGAGGGAAGGACAGAGGAAGGTGGGTTAGGTCGCCGGCCTGGTGCGTGGACTGGCTCATCAACGCGAATCTCTCTCATCGCGCGAATCCGAATCTGATATTCGAATCGCAGAGCCGCATCGCTCGCATCTTCTGCTCATCTTGCATCTTCTGCTCATCTCTTCTCGCAGAAGTTCTGAAGATGGTAAGATACGCGCCACACGGGCATGGGCTGCGAGGGGGACGGACGGGCTGGACGGTGGGTCCAGACCCAGGCCTCCGAGTCTACCCGCTCCAGAAGGCTGGCAAAGATCGTGCGGCGGGCCGGCGGGCTTTCGCGGTCACGGACATGCCCGGGCACCAGCCAATCCGGGCCAGCCAGCCACCAGCCGCTTCACTTCCACTTCCGCTTCCGAATCAGGCAAGCGAAAGAAAAGGGAAGAAGGAAGGAAGGAGAAAAGCCCCCGCACACGACTCGACGATGACGGGTGACGAGAACGTCTATGGCTCGATCAGCTGATCCCGCCTGCCTGCCCACTTCACCCTGCACCCGGCAGGACCCCGCTCGGCAGGTAGTTAGGCAGGCATGTAACCCACTTCTAAATCCGGAAAGCGAAAAAAGGAAGGAAGGAAGAAGGGAAGAAGAGCCTCCGCACGCGAGTCGCCTCTACGACGGGTGACGGGTGATGAGAGCGTCTGCCCCTGGGTCAATTGATACCACCCCGCTTGCAAGTCGGCCGCATCCAACTCGGCAGGTAGGTAGGTACGCAGGCAGGCAACCGCGCCGAACTCGCGCCCAGGCCGCGCCGCGACGCCTACGTGCGCACCTCGCGGGGAACGCGCGGGCCCCACCCCCGTGTCCTTGCTCCCTTGGCTGCTTCTCGTTATCGTCCCCTCGCAACGGTGGGGCAACCTCTCTTCTCCCTAAGCGCTGCGGCGATAGACCTCGTCTCGACGCATCGCGCATGTGGATGCAGATGCAAATGTAACAGAACACGGGACGTGCCGCGTCATCTGCTCGTTCCTTCATTCATCAACGAACGAACCAACGAACCAAGGAGTGCGAGGCCTTGGCGGTGGCGCGCAGGGCGAATGAACGATGAACGAATGAAAGCCCACCCATCCCCTATCTGCCCTCGGCTACCCCACATCTCGTACATACACCCCGCACGCGTCAGCGTCCTCGGCAGCGGCAGGACATCTGGACAGAGGGCCCAGAATGTACGCCGAGGAGGAAAAGCGTAGCGAGCCGCCGCCGTCGTAATATAACGAGAACATCGTTGGCGATGGGTGGGGAGCCACCCAATCCGCGCATACATCATCATGAATCAGAAAGGTGAGATGCATAGATGCTCAGTAAGCGCACCCGGTCAAGAACGGAAACGCAACGGCAAACCAAACAATATGCGAAAAGGAAGGAAGGTGGAGCCGCCGCCACAAACCCACGAGGAAAAGACGCAAAGGAAGGAAGGAAGGAGCAAGGAACAAGGAACAAGGAACCGAAAATCGCGTCGCGGCGCGTCGATAGAGCCCTTATGCCCGCAATCACGACGCGGCGAAGTCCTCTCGATGAAGGCGACGTCGCGTATGTGGAAATGGTAAGCTGCACCGCGTCGCGTATCTGCAGCTGGATCTCGAGTCGTCGACAGTCGATGCCAGCCAGGAACCACTTGTCTTCTCCCGCAAGAGAACTGGAGCACGGCCCAACTTGCGGGGAATACATCGCGTCGTGTATGCATCGAGCCGAGTCGACGCCAGGAACCACTGGTAGGGTCCTGTGTCGCAGCAGAACCGTGCTAGTCCAATTCCCCGCCTGACGCGACTCGCAGGCGTCCTACCCACCCACCCCACCCCCACCCCACATCGGATGATCACGACACGCGCTCGAGCCCACTCCCTCATCCACCGCAATCGCAAGAACCGAAAGAACCAAAAAACGGTCTTCGCCTCTCCTCCAAAATCCCCCAACCCAAAACGCACACCACACTCCGCGCCTCAAACCCAGGGCCCAAACACCCCCTCCCCAATTCCCCGCCAAAAACAAAGACGCGGGGCAAAAGCAAACGCAATCCTGCCCAAATACCCCCACGAAAGAAAAGACGAAACCAAACACCCGCGCCCGCGCGCGCGAATACGATGAAGAAAAAAACAAAGTCCAAAAGAAAACAAACTCCAAAACAAAACAAACGCAAACGCAAAAAACGTAAGAAGAAAAAAGAAAGAAAAAGAAAGAAAGAAAAGAAGAAAGAAAAACGCACCCCACGCCGCGTCCATCGAGCGTCTCCTGCAGCGTCGGCAGCGGCGGCTGCCCCAGCTCCGCGCGTAGACGGTCTACGTCCGTCTGCGAGTTCGAGTTCGCGGCGCAGGTCGCAGGTCAAGTAGGGGTGGGGTTTCGAGTTCGAGTCCGCGTGAGTTTGGAGTTTGTATTTGGGTTTAGAGAGGGTCCAGCAGAGGTAGAAGACATAGTGCGTAGTGGGAGTCGTGGCGGTTTGACGGAGCAGGGAGCAGGAGCAGGGCGGGACGGTAGGGGCGCGTGCGGGGTGCGGGGTGGTTGAGGTGGAGGTGGAGTAGGAGCAAGAAGGGAAGGCGGAAGGCGGAGGGCGGAAGGCGGGCGGAGTTAGGTAGGGTTTGCGGGTTTGCAGCGCAGCCGAGGCGGGGCCGAATTAAGGTAAGGTCGGGGTCGAGGTCGGGGTCCAGTCGAGGTCCGCGTAAGGCCAGGGTCGAGGCAGAGGTAGAGAGAACGAGAACACAAGTCAGCGCAGATCCACGCATAGAAAAAACGAAACGAAAGAAAAGCCCCCTCTCGGCTCGACAAAGTCAGAACGAACAAAACCCACCTTGGCAGCGCGATACTCGCCCTCGCTGAGCTGAGCGATCTTGGCCTTGAGCAGGGCGCGCTCGCGGTCGAGGGTGGCCTCGAGGAGGTCGGCCTGGTTGCGGTCCTCGTTGACCTGCGCGAGGCACTCGATGAGGCGCGCGCGTTCGGATTCGAGTCTGCGGTGGGCGCAGTTAGTGTTCAGTTGAGATGAGACGAGAGATGCATGGTCCGGAACACAAGAGATGTGAATGGCGCCGTTCATCGACACCGCGACGCCGGCTGGAGAAATGGCACGAGCAGGACGGAACGGAGCGCGCTACTCACCTGTTCCGCTGCTCGCGAATATCCTCCACGGCGCGGTCCTTCTGGGTCAGCGACGCGTGCGCGGAGAGGATGTGCGCCGTGTGCAGCTGCAGGGTCAGCGCGTGTTTTCTGTCCGAGGCGTGAATTATGAATATATTTTCACAGTGCTAGTAACACAGCAAGCGCACTTGAGTTCCGCGGTCTTTGCGAGCTGCACGAGGTCCTTGGTCCAGTTGCCTTTTGCCACGATCGCGGCGGGCTGCGGCGGCGGCGGCTGCGCTTGTGCCTGTGCCTGTCCCTGCGCCTGTGCGCCTCCCTGAGGATTTATCGTCGCAGCGGCGCTAGTAGACGCATGCGGCTGCGGCGGGGGCTGCTGCTGCAGCCTCCTCGGGGGGGCGTGCTGGGTGTCCTGGGGCGAGACAGTGGTGGGCTGGTGCGGGTTCTGGTGGGGGTTGTGTGGGCCGGTGTAGTGGACGTATTGCGCTTGAGGACCCGACGACATGTCTCACTTTTTTTGCGCAGAACGACGCGCGGGTCCTTGGGGGCCGCTTACAAGAGTGGCAGGAGGGCACACGTGTGCGCCCGTGGTTGCGAGTTGCCGGGTATTGCCGACTCTGCCCACAGCCATCCACTCAGCCTGATTCTGATTCAAGAATCAACACACAGCTCTCTGACTCAAGTCGCGACTCGCAAACTGAACCATTTGACCTGCTCCGACCCTTTCATACATCTCTCGCGGCAATTGCTGTCCTCGCCAGCGCTTTACTGATTCGAAGTTTCGAACGCGACGCCCGACCACTCGTATCGCACCTGCCCCTCGCTCGCTTCGCTTCCATAGTACCCCAGTAGTCAGGCACTCAACACCCGCCAATTGACAACTAATATATACCGACTTGGCCGCTGCTGGCACGACCTGTCGGACTAGAACCCTGGCCAAGCACTAGTGGTTCATCGAACTCTTAAGCTTCCATTGGTTCACGCTTTAATGGGACTTGGAAAAGTCCGAACCGGGGCTTCGAATCTTTTAGTAGGCGCAGTTATTGATATCACGATCAAATGATTCAACGCAGCCAACCACCGCGAACTCAACCATCCACCATCCACCAGATGCTGTTCCGCGTACTGAACCTTTCTTATATCGCTGGCACGGCCATGAGACAATCCCCTGCACTCACCATTGTTCACATACCGGCAAGCGGTCAATTCATAATATATATTCCCGGTATCTGGTACCGTTCATGTAGGCACTGCCAGTTCCAACCCAACCCATACACGACTCGGTGGCGGATGGTCCGCGCCCACAGGCCTTGAAGGAACCGAAAGCCAGTTACGTGTGGGAGTCGTCTGTTCGATCCAGGCCCGAGTCATAAGATCTTCATGCATCGTTTTTTTTTCGTTGGTTGCTTCAGTCCAACCCTGCACTGGAAAATTCAACAGGCCGCCTTTACAGGAATTCAAATACATACATACATACAATCCGTCTATGTATCAACTTCGACTTCAACTTCCGTACTACTCGTGCCTGTGCCTCGCTTCGCTTTCAAATTCCTACCGCCCAGTAGTCAGACTCGGACACTCAACACCCTGGACGACCGTCGATTACTACTGGATGCTGGCACGACCTGTCGGACCAGAACCCTGGCCACGCACTAGTGGCTCATCGAAGTGCACTGGTATGATGCCCGGTTCACGATTATAAGTATGGGACTCGGCAGCGCGCGCGTTCGGGTGGTTTGAACACGGTCTAGGCGCAGTTATCGAGCAGTCAACCAACGCGGACGCGAATGCGATCGTCGACCAGATGCTGTCCCGCATGGTGCCGTTCATGTAGGCACTGCCAGTTCCAACCCATGCACGACTCGGTGGCGGACGGTCCGCGCCCACGGGCCTTGAAGGATACCGCATATGGTTACGTGTGGGAGTTGTCTGTTCGATCCAGGCCCGAGTCATAGTACTATGGTTTTTACACTTTTCTCACCGGTGTTTTTATTAACGTTCCTTCATGCCAGTGCGTTCTTCAAATTGCTCTCCACTACATGTAGGCTGCATTTGCTTTACAACTTGGTTCAATGCAGGAACTTAATTCAATTCAATACTTACACCGTGACACAGCCCCCATCTCGCCCCCGCCTAGCTCAACTTCAACTTCTGGCCAGGAGAGCCTATGTATTATTATTCTCGTTCCCTGGACTTAGTACAATTCCAAGCTTGAATCATACGCCGACCCGGTGGCGATGGTCCACATCATCCATATGGTGCCGCGTCTGTCAACCGCCTGTTTCGATCCAGGCCCGAGTCATGAAGCTCGCAACAGATCCGTTTTTTTAATTTGCTTCGTGATTTTGTCCTCGTGTTCTATAGCTACAGCCGCCCATGGCCGGTGCAAGTGGCAAGAATCCAAATGTAATTTAAAATAGGTATATACAATCAACCCCCATCTCGCTTCACCTCGACAAGGTCGACTTCACCTTCAACTTCAGGTTCAGGTTCAGGTTCAGGTTCGAGCCTACACCTCTGTTCAATTCACCGCCAAAATAGCTATAGCTCTTTTTTCGGCGCCGATTTCGTTTCGGTTCGGTTCGTTCCACCATTGACAAGCTTAACAGAACCCATCTCCATCCCGGACACCGATGGTCTGTGTCCATATGTTAAAGTTTGAACCCACCCGAAATTCGATTTAGGCCCGAGCCAGCGTTCTTTGGACCAAGTAATCTCGTTCTACACTGCAGACTTTACAAGTTGCAGGAATTTAATTTCCAATATACACTCCATGGCCACACCGCCTCAACTTCATCCGATTCAGCTTCAAGTTTACACAAGGCAGGTAGATCTAGAGTCTGCCCTCATTCCTAGACCCAGTTCCAAACCACATACATACTATACTCACTTGGTGGCGTACAGTCTGCATCCATACGGTGCTTTCCCACAAACTCAAAATTACTTACATGTGGGTGGAAGTTGCCTACCTGTTCGACTCAGACCCGAGTGAGAGATGGTTTTTTTATATTAAGCACTCCTCCCCGCACTCATTATTGTTATATTCACATACCGGCAAGCCGTGAACTCATAATATATATAATCCGGTGCCACCACCGCGCATGTGGAGCGCCAGTTCCACCCCATACATGACTCGGTGGCGGACGGTCCGCATCCACACGGTGGAATCCAACCACCTCATGATCATCACTTACATGCGGAAGTTGCCTGTTCGACCCAGGCCCGAGTCATACTGCCACAGTTTTCACCGGCGTTTTTGTCCCGTGCGTTCTTTTTGCTCTCCACTACATGTAGGCTTGCATTTACTTTACAACTTGGTTGGAGGAATTTAATTCAATTCATAATTACACCGTGACACAGCCCCCATCTTGCCCCCGCTAGCTCAACTTCAGCTTCTGGCAATGAGAGCCTATGTATTCTCATTCCCTGGACTTACAATTCCAAGCCTGAATCATACTTATGCCGACCCGGTGGCGGATGGTCCACATCATCCATATGGTGCCGCGTCTGTCAACCGCCTGTCGATCCAGGCCGAGTCATGCCGGGGTAAAAGTCAGGTTTTTTTTACCGGTGTTTTTGTGACTTCCAGTCTGTGTTTCTTTGGATAAGTACAGTTGTATCTTTTATATGGAATAAAGTTGGGATACCAGCCAAATTCAGCCCGAAGGTGATTCCATATGACAGATTCCATAGGAGCAGCAATTTACAGTGGTAAACAGGATTCGGGAACACATTGTGGCCTATTCCATATATCACGGTTTTTGGCTGTGTATTCCATACGAGGTGATTCCATCAGGGGATTCGACTGTATATATATATATATATTCGTTCCCGCAGAAACTGCAGGTCTATTGTAATACTTCAAGTTGTCGTTGCTAGAAACATCACAATTGTACAATCGATTCCAACGAAACTTGGAATGTTTTCGTCGTTGGGCATCAATCATTGAATCAACATCATGGCTTGACATCATGCTTAATTTAGTAATAATGAAGATCATCAGCTTCCTGCTCTCACCGCCCCTATATTCATCGTACTTACAACACCCTCCAAGTCAATTCGTGACGGAAAGGCACCACTGTTTACACGTCCAACTCCGATCTGCCCGACTCTTCCCAATTCTATTCGGATGTTTTGCATCTTTGGGATCCACAACCGTTGTGTTGGCGGTGTAACAATCACGGAGTTGTGAGAAGAGCGCCTCCTCAGCGGCATGGTGGGTGGCGCAAGCCCCTACTAGGTGTGTGTGTTCTCAGCAATGCCCGCTTCAGCCTGCAACCCTCATTTAATAATTGCTCAATTCATGCGACTAAATCTGTTCGTGCAGGGTATATAAGCGGGCACCTGCAAAGGGAACCTCATTGTATTATCCAACCCTTTCTTCCAACTGACACTTGACCCCGGCGGTCTTTCTTCATTTCACACCCTTCAACAAAACACACAATGATGTTCAAACTGGCGACTCTCCCCCTCCTCTTCATGCTGGCTGGGTACGCTGTTGGCGCTCCCATCGTATGTCATTCCTTCTACCTGTACCATTACAACAAGCCAACAGATAATTAATGATTTTGCAGACTAAGAGATGCAGCGTCACCGACATCAACGGCGTGGTTACAGTCGACAATAGTGGCGGAGGCGAGTGCGAAGCTGGTGTCAATGGGGTGAATGTCGCTAGCGGTGCCGGGAATGTTGACAATGCTGGCACAATCAACGGCGGAGACCTCGCTGACGCATTCAAGAATGGTTTCGGCGCTCCCATCGTATGTCATTCCTTCTACCCGTACCATCACACCAAGCCAAAGCATAACAACAATTTCGCAGACTAAGAGATGTAGCGTCACCAACATCAATGGTGTCGTTACAGTCGACAACAGTGGCGGAGGCGAGTGCGAAGCCGGTGTCAACGGAGTTAATGTCGCCAGTGGTAGCGGGAATGTTGCCAATGGCGCCGGTGGATTCAACGGTGGAGACTTCGCTGATGCATTCAATAATGCTTTCGGAAACTAAGCTGTCAGTCTGTACGGTCTCCAATTTGGTCCATACCAGTAAACCTTGTCCGATCTGGGCTCTCAATGCTGCCGGCTAATTTTAACGGGTTCTCCATGCTTATGGTGCCCTGAAAAATATCCATTGCAGTGAACTCTCGACTTTTGAACGATGATCAGTGATGAAGCTCACTCTCGGAGCCAATCTTGAGCCAACCACATTTGGTTTGGCTGGTAACGCCTCGTACTTATCGTATCTGTGCCTCGCTCGCTTCGCTTCCCTAGTGTTTCAGTATTAGTCAGGCACTCAACACCCGTCAATTGACAACTACTATCCCCCCCCACCGTCCCGGACAAACCTAGTACTCGGACAAACAAACATTTCTCGTGCGAAACTCAACCGTTTTCCGAGATTTTTGGCTTAATATGAACAGTAGGAGGTGCTCTGTAGATATAAGGTCAAAACCCTTACAATCCCGCATCTTTCATATATATATTGCCACGGAAAGTTGCCAACTTCGGCCATTTTCGCTGATTTAGCCTATTTTAAGGCCTAGGGTCCTCTCCCTAGGTTCTTACTATCCTTTAAATGCATCCAAAATATGCCTTTACATCGCAAGAGTGCCCATATAAAATCTCAGAGGCATAGCCGTCTTGCCGCTGCCACAATGGACCGAAGGATCAAAGCATGCCCGTCAATTGATTTCTTAACTGCCAACAATGATGGGAAGAAACCTTATGCTCCCTGTTGACCATCCTGAGCATTCCTTATCCTCTGCTTTATGGACATCATAGTCCTGATTGAGGAGCTCCACTCTACAAGATTTTGAGGCACTTCGACCGCAAGAGCGTCGGATATGAAGCCGGCAATCCAAATTTGATGCATTACCTAGTACTCGGACACATGACAACCTTGGAAAAAAACGACGCCGTTTGGGTAATTTTCGGCTATTTCTCATGAAGCAAAAATTTGAATCTGGGGTAAAAGACAGATTCCCGTCGATCTATGTACTCAGCCTGGCACAACAACCTTTGGATAAAATGCTATATTGTGATTTTCCTTAAGTGTCCGAGATCTAGGGGGGGGATAGTATTACCGACTTGGCTGCTGGCACGACCTGTCGGACTAGAAGTCTAGAACCCTGGCCGTTGAATGAGACGCGTACTGTCACGCGGCGCGTCACACTACCCGATTCGGTCAGGAAACTGACAACACATTTTCTCGATAGACTGAAAACACTATGGGAAAAATTCTTGCAGAGAGACCTACTGTAAATAATTATTCACATCGATCGAGTCCATAAAATGGAAGGGAATCAACAAAGGTCACCTTGGTCTGGCGGGAATTGATGAGAAAAGTTGTCGACAAAGGTCTCAATGTACAA